TAAACTTTCGAAGGGAGTTGTACAGAGGATTCCCCCAGTGAAGACACCTGGAAAGTAATTCTGGGCCACAGCCAATTGGGGAGGAAGATGGGTTTTCTAGGGGCAGCTCTAGTAGTATGATGGCTGAGGTGGGTACAGGGGAGAGAAGAGGAGCAGAGAAGAGGGGAGAAGGGTGGGCCACAAGGGGGCAAAGCTAAGCCAGTCAACACTTCTCCAGCCTCCATGCCTAGCCAGGGTATGGGCTCTGGAGTTAGGTCCCAGCTCCTCCTCACAGTGGGTCCCCTACAGGATGGCATGGGTTCCAGTGGGGACATCAGTCTTCTGTCCGCACTCCCAGAGCCATCAGCCACCACTGTATTGGGAGGCTCCCAGCAGCATCTGGGCATGTGGGGTGAATGTGCTGAGCACACCAAAGTGGAGCAGCCAGAGCGAGAGAGCTAATGGACACTAATCCGCAGCCCTGGGCCTTTCTCTCCTTTTGCTCATCATTAGCTTCCTGGAATCTGTCCCAAGTCTCAATACTGAAAAGTGCTTCAGGTGCTGGGGATTCTGGGTAACCATCCCCACCCCCACCTTCAAGCTGAGGCAGCCAGGAGCCACCTGCTGGGCTCTCTGCCTGCAGCACTAGGTTTTGAGGTGCAGGAGGCAGCATCGGTGTGCTGGAACCTGGGATCATCCAAGTGAGCTTGAGGAGACTCCTGCGCTAGCATGTGTTCCAGCCCAGCAGCATGGGATTACGCTCTGTGTCCCCAGCTAGACCCACTTCCCTGCCCTTTGCCAGGCAGAAATAAATAGGTCTTAGTACCCGAGTCATAAAATGTTCGGATTCTTAAAAACAGGAAGATGGGGAAGGCCAAAAGGACTTTGGTCTTGGGGGCTACTCATCTCCAAAGGGGCTGAAACGTTGAGGTCCTTAGGCAAAGGCTCCACTCAGAAAAGAAGAGTGACCCACTTAAGGAGCAGATATGGCTTCTAGGGGAGCGTTTGACACCGGGTGGCTCTGTGCAACCCACCCAGGCCCCAGCACATATGCGACTGCATTGTGCCCAGCGTGTCATCCAAACTTCAGCTGCGCTCTGCTGCGGCGCCCCTCGAAACCGGGAACACATTGTAATTTGCTGCTGGTGAAAGGGTAAGGTCGGTGTTTGCCCATGAAACTGCCCAGAGGCCTCAAACGAATGAATGCCATTTTAGCTTTATATTTATTTAGGCTTTCCGTAGCTCGTAATACAGTGTCACTCCCCTCCTAGGATTCTTATTTAGGCAGCTGCTATAGACCTCTTTATACATGGCTTGAACACCCTTCATCTTATAGCACTTCTTCTGCCTCGGAGCCTGAGGGTATCTGTGTTGTCCCTGAATTCCCTGCCTCCACCCAGGGCCTGGCACATGATAACTGCTCAGTAAATATTTGCTGAATGAATGAACAGATGAGTAAAGAGGCTGAGTTCCTAACACTAAAATAGCCGTGAAGTTGGAAGGAATTTGATGCTACAAGACTCAGGAACTGCCAGCGTTATACCCTTGAGGCAGCACTGGCGGAGCTTCTCTTTTTGTTGCTGTTAAGCCATACATTTATAATGTAGAAAGCCAAGCCTTCCATGGTTTGGGCTCAGCTGGGTGTGTATCTAGCCCGTGCCCCAACATTCCTTCCCAGCTGGGCCACTCCGTGTCTGTGCTACATGTGACCTACACCCCTCATGTCCTCCCCCAGGTCCAGCAGGGCCCAGCCATGCTGCCGGGTCAGTTCTGTCCTGAGCCTTCAAACCAAGTGCCCAGGAGCCAAAGGCCATAGAGTGTTCACAAAACCAAAGAGAACCAAGTTTCACGTAGCCTTTGCTATTTTCTTTCTTTTTTTTTTTCTTGCCTTTGCTATTTTCATCTGTTCTGTTCTTTTTGGTTGTTTTAAAATTGTTTAATTTTTATTAGTGCTTGTTCGCAGCTCATAATGGCCCCATTCATCGTGGGGGTTGTGCACGGCACGGCTTCATTCCTTCCCCCTCTCCCTCCCGCCTGCCTGCACCTCTGGGTTGTCTTTCCATTCCATCTCCCTGTTCCCTATGGTGGTCGATCTTTATTTTGCTCTCTAATTTATTATATTAAACATTTTATGTATGCTCATAATTTTATGTATGCTTTCTCATATGAGAGAAACCATGCGACACTTAAGCTTGTGTGTCCAGGTTAGCTCACTTACCACTCTGGTCTTAAGGTGTCATTTGTATCCTTTTTCTTCTTTTCTGTCACTTGTTCTCGTCTTCTGTCTCTACCATTCTTTCCTTTCCTTGGAACTGTTTCAGTCTTCTGTCTTCTTCCCAGCCCTAGACTGGGTGGGTCGCCACATTTATTTGTACAGAATGTCAGTAGTAGCCGGGAGTGGTGGTGCATACCTGTAATCCCAGCACTCGGGAGGCCAAGACAGGAGGATCGCCAGGAATTTGAGACCAGCCTGGGGTACATAAGTGAATTCAAGGCCAGTCTGTACTACGTAGTCAGAGCTTGTCTCAAAATAGAAAAAAGAAGAAGAAGAAGAAGAAG